TCTCGACTTTGCCAAAGGAATTGACAGCGTCTCCGTCATAATCTTCATCTCCCGACGGCTGACTTCGTACTATCCTGTTCACCATGGCGATCAATGGTCATTTCGCCTCGATTGGCGTCGACAATGACAAGACAGCGTACGAACATGGTGTGCAAGTAATAGACGAGAATAAGGAGTTCAAGTAAGTTTCTTCCTCATGCTATACCGACTCAAGCTGTTTGAATCAGTGTCTATTTGACATGGTAAGAGTGCCAGTAGTGGAGTCAATGAGCTAACAGTCCACAACTCGCAGTCCCAATATTTCGAAATATCTGAGCCTCGAAAATGTCACTCCTGCCGGTTTCAACTATCATCTCATTTCCGTCTTTGGTTCGCAGTCGACTGGTAAGTCCACGCTGCTGAACCATCTCTTCGGCACGCACTTCTCCGTCATGTCCGATTCGGAGCGACGCCAGACAACCAAGGGTATCTGGATGTCGAAGAACAAGAATGAAGGGGATTCCGCCCCGGGCCAAACTCTGTGCATGGCGGATAACATTCTCGTCATGGATGTTGAAGGAACGGATGGTCGTGAGAGAGGAGAAGACCAGGATTTTGAGCGCAAAAGTGCTCTGTTCGCCCTTGCTACGAGTGAAGTGCTTATTGTGAATATATGGGAACATCAGGTCGGCCTGTACCAGGGCGCAAATATGGGTCTGTTGAAGACGGTCTTCGAGGTCAATCTGCAGCTGTTCCTGAAGGACAAGAAGTATGTGTTCTGGTCATACGTTTAGTTTGGCCTGGCCCCGGTCTTCTAGGCCCATGCGACTATTTTACTGATTCCTCTGGCAATGCAGTACCACTCACCGATCACTTCTCTTCTTTGTGATCCGTGATTTTGTTGGCACAACGCCTTTAAAAAATCTACAGAAGACGTTGATGGAAGACATGTCTCGCCTCTGGGAGTCTATCTCGAAGCCTCCTGGCCTCGAAAACTCCAGTGTTCATGATTATTTCGATTTTCAATTCTATGGACTCCCTCACAAAAGCTACCAACCCGAGCAATTTGTTTCCGAGACTAAGAAGCTTAGCTTGCGATTCCGCGAAGGCCAAAGAGACCCCAGTATGGATGCGCGGAGAGGCGAGTTCTCCGAGGGAGGAGTCTTCCTTCCGGAATATCATCGGCGGATCCCCGCGGACGGGTTTTCGCGATATGCAGAGGGTATTTGGGACCAGATCGTGAATAACAAGGATCTCGACCTGCCTACGCAACAGGAGCTACTTGCACAATTCCGCTGCGACGAGATCTTGAGAGAAGTGATGATAGCTTTTGATGAAGCTATTCTCCCATTTGAGGAGAAGCAGTCACAAGCCACGCGTCTTGGTGAGCCGGAGGTGCTTGGTGGTTTGGGCGCTGCGATGCGATCATCACGGGCCAAAGCTGTCAAGAACTTTGAGACAGAAGCGAGCAGGTATCACAAAGGTGTCTATCAGCGCAAGCGGGCGGAGCTTGAAAACAAAGTCGATACCCGTTTGAAAGCCCTTCTACAAGGTCAACTTAATGCCGCACACAAGTCGGGTATCAACGAATTCAGTCAGGCAGTCTCCTCCGCTGTCAAGTCAGGCCAGAAGCATGGTACAGGTTACGACTTTGCTGAAATTGTCAATGAAGAGGTGAAGAAAGCCGTGGCCAAGTTTGAAGATGTGGCGCGCTCAACTGTGGTGGAAGGCACCACATGGAGTGACTACAAGCAAGAACTGGCCTTGTATGAAAAGGAACTAGCGGAAGTTAGCGGGAGATTACGCAGAGAGGAGATGCGTCGTTTGGCAAATCGCGTTGAAAGATGGGTTCAGTCCCGTCTGGGAGAGTCGATCGGGCTTGAGTTCAACGCTTTGGGATCTGGACGCGCAGGAGGAGGTGCTCCGGAAACAGGCGAGAAGCCTCTTGAGAAGGCTTTCTGGGATCGTGTGTGGAACGTTTTCGTGGAGACGGTGCTTGATGCCGAGCGTCGGTTCACGGACCGCGCCAGCAGCTTTGATGCCAGTTTGGAGGAAGTGGATGTCGGTCTCTGGAGGCTCCGGAGGAAGTCCTGGGGTGTCTTGCGCGCCAAGATCGATGAAGAGATGACCGAGGGCAATCTTTTGCTGAAACTGCGCGAGAACTTTGAGGACAAATTCCGTTATGATGATGCTGGGGTACCTAGAATATGGCGACCAACCGATGATATTGAAGGCATCTATACCCGCGCACGCGAATCAACCCTGACTTTAATCCCCCTTCTTTCGCGCTTCCGCCTGGCAGAGACGTCGGCCCCGCCCCCTCTTGATCGCTGGATAGGCCACACTCCAAGCTCTGCCACTCCAGCAGATGAGGAAGATTTACCGCCCATCGGCGGTGTCGATGAGGAAGAGGGCAAGACCTTGGAGGAAGAGATGACGATTCTCAGTGAGGCTAAGCGTCAAGAGCTCACTGTCAGATTCAAGAAAGCCGCGGACGGAGTTTATGTCGAGGCTAAGAGAAGTGCTATTGGCGGCATGACTCAGGTACCTTTGTACTTCTACGGTCTTCTCCTTGCCCTGGGATGGAACGAGATCATTGCAGGTAAGTTCTCTATAGTGGATATTTTCGAACGAAATCAGTTGGGCGGATGGGTTGACAATTCTTTTAGTGCTTCGTAATCCTGCCTATTTCTTCCTCCTGTTTGTCTGTGCCGTGGGCGCCTATGTCACTTATCAGCTGAACCTCTGGGGCCCGATCATCAAGATGACTGAAGCCGCTTCGAGCCAGGCGCTGATGGAGGGCAAGAAGCGACTGCGCGAGTTTCTTGAGTCTTCCGATACTGGGCGTCAGGCAATCGCGATGTCGGCTGGTTCGGGGCGCTCTGACGACCAATACGAGTTGTCCGATCTAAGTAAGAAGGGCAAGGCAAGAACGTCAACCGATGAGGACATGGACGACCTTTGAATATGATATTCTGTATACTTAGAGTGTATTTGTCATTAGGGTTAGGTTCCTGTTCGAATACATAATTACCCAGGGACATCCCGAGGGTCCGGTTAATGACAGCTGTTTTCCTTAGTTGAATTTTCGATCCTCATGCATCTTCGAGCTAGTATAGCCTATTCTTAGAGATAGGCAATGTCATTAACCGGTCGTACGATAATTGGCAGTTGTGGGGAATGATCGCATMTCCTCGCATCCCCCGTCAGAGCGGAGTTGCTCCGACACTCCTCCCCCGCAGCTATGTGCCAGACTAGCTTCCAATGCCAGCTTTCGGCTCTATTGCTTTCCTTGACTCATGCTGAAGTGTTAAAATCCATCCAACAAGACTCAACGAGCTTCTCTTTCAATAACCTTTTGTCCGAATAAGCAAGTCTATAAATATCAAGTAATTACAGGTACTTACCCTCTCGGAAGTCAACCCCGCACATCTATCTATACAACCCAAGTTGCTTTGAGCTCCGCTACCTTCTACTCGCCATGTCAGGAATCAGCGAACTACCCGAAAAATACGATGATCTTCCTGACAAGCGACGGTTCTGGCCGGCAGCAGCAGGATCCGCAGAGGAAGGATTGGGAATGCTCCAGCTCTTGACGCCGGAGGTTGTGGCCGACGCTGCGCGGACACAGATCCAGACGGGAGAGCGCGTCTGCTTGAACTGGGATTTAGAGAAGCTAGATCCTCCTGGTATGTGCTAGAGATCTCGCTCGCAGGACCATGGACATGTACATATCCATGCCGTCTGTAGTTCAGTTCTGACGACAGATCCTGTTTACATTTGCCAGGATTCGGCCGCAAAGCGTTCGAACACAAGGTTCAATGGGTCGCTCCAGGTGCCGCTTTCGATGACGAGTATCATTTTAACCCGCAGCAATCCTCTCAATGGGACGGATTCCGGCATCACAACGCTCCTGCGCCAACCTCAGAAAATGAGGACCAGAAGCTGTTCTACGGCGGCACAACTGCAGAGGAGATTCAGGATCCAAACTGCAATCGCATTGGAATTGGGTACTGGGCGAAGAAAGGCATCGCAGGCCGCGGGGTGCTCATCGATTACCTGTCCTGGGCGGAGAAGAAGGGAATTAGTGTGGACGCGCTGAGCCAGCATGTCGTATCATTAGACGATGTGCTGGCCATCGCGCGTGAATGCAAGATCGAGTTCAAGAAAGGCGATATCTTCTTCCTTCGCGTTGGTTTAACCAGAACGTGGGATACGATGGATGCACAGCAAAAGAAGGAGTATAGCCAGCAGTCCACGCCCAAGCATGCGGGGATCGAGCAGAGTGAGCGTGTGCTGCGCTTCTTGTGGGACAACCACTTCGCGGCGGTGGCTTCGGACGCAGTCAGCTTCGAGGTGTATCCGCCTTTGAATCCTGAGTACGATCTACACCATCATCTGCTGGCTGGGTGGGGAATTCCGATAGGTGAGATGTTTGACTTGGAGGATTTGGCTGAGACGTGCAAGAGGTTGGGTCGGTGGACGTTCTTCGTGTCGAGTAGTCCGTTGAACTGTGCTCGGGGTGTTTCCAGTCCCCCTAATTGCATGGCAATTTTCTGATGCAGTCATAGGAGCACCTGAATATCTACTTTTATGTTTAGTCGTCCAATAATACTGTTTTGAAGCAGGTTCATGCCGTGCACATATTCTATTATTGTACAGCTTATCCCTCCCGGATGTTATCTAATCACACGTGATTGTTATCGACACCCTCGGCTCCCAACACTTTGGTCGATTCAACGAAGTCACCGTCGCGCTTCGAGTTTCCGCAGATCCGTAAGACGTACTTCGCGCTCATTTTAATACGTTGCGTAATGATAGTCACTCCTTCGGCTCCGTCTCCCTGAAACGCGTACTCTAATCAATCTGGCATTGATTATATCCCCTGGTCTTACTCGACTAAATCCCCTTGTTCCGGTCATTTCCTTCATTCTATATCTAATACACTCTCAGCAGCTAATTTCCTTCGAAGATAATTCTGTTATAATCGATCCTACTTGCTTGCTTCATTAAAGCCCATCATGGCGAATGCGCTGTCATCTTTGCGCCTCGAAAGCGTGCGCGAGCTGCTCTCAGCCATCTCACCCCTAATCTCATGGACGACGCTAGCTCTGCTGTTAGCAATCATTAACTTGAAGAACATGCCTCTCATTTGGCACGTAAGTACTCCGGATTACTCTTGACCTTACTGGAGAGTCGGTCTGATTCAAGTAGGCCCGTATTCTATATCACTTCTGGGGAAACATCCGATGGCGTGTCCAGGATCCCTATTTTCCCAAGGGAACTCCATTAGTAACTCACAGCGGGAAGCCGACGCATCCGGTATTCGTGTCATATGGCATCTCATCCCGAGCTCCAATCCTGGAGACGGATTACAACCAGCACAAGTCCAACAGCACGTACTTTTCCGACCTGGACGTGGCCCGCACGGCCCTCGTCACCCGCCTATACAGCCCCGGAGCTTCAATCGTGAGCAAAGAACTCGACGCGGAGCTTCTCAAAGCCAGTCAGCGGGACGGCACGAAGCCACCCAAGCCCAAAGGCATTTATGTGGCCCTGGGCTCGGTCTACTGCAGCTTCAAGCGCGAGATCAAGCCCTTTGAGTTGTACGAGATGGAGACTAAGGTAATCGCCTGGGACCAGAAGTGGATGTACGTTATGACGTTCTTTTTCCGGCCCGCGAGCCGGAAAGGCGGCGAGAAGACGCTCTTCGCGACTGCGCTGAGCAAGTACGTCGTCAAGAAGGGACGGCTGACCGTGCCGCCGGAGAGAGTCCTGCGGGCCAGTGGCTTTTTGCCTCCGCGGCCGGAGGGCTCTGCCGCGCCTGAGGTGTCTACCTCGACTGAGGCGTCGGGCGTGGGGACACCGGTCAATGGAGACGGTCTCACGGCTAGTGCTTCGGGAGTAGACGGGTCTTTAGTGCGGGAAGTGCTGAAGTTACGGGAGGAGGACATGCCGGAACCGAAATCGCTGGAGGCGAAAAAGAAGAGCAACTCTGCGTCGTGGGACTCGAACGAGTGGACATGGGAACGGATTGAGCAGGAACGGCTGCGGGGGTTGAAAGTCATAGAAGGATATTCGACGATGGATGCTAAGCTGTACGAAGAGTGGCAGCGTTAGCAGGTTGTATGAGCTAATGTGGGCTGTGTTCTGGTCTTTTTCTAGCTTACTAGATACTTATTCATGTTATATAGACTAGACTTGACGCTGATGAGAATCCATACACGGCAACTCCCAGATAATATACATATGCACAATCAGGCCCAGCCGCCTGACATCTCAAGAACCATAGATGAGATCTTACTCTAGTGCTACATCACACTCCCATAATGAAGATATCAAGTTTCAATCGCCTGATAAACCTTCACTTGCGGAACTCAACACAAGGTAGACTGATCCATTTCATTGGTGCCGATCCATCCTCTAGGACAGTACTTGCGCCGCAATTGGTGAGCAGTAGAGACCATCCGTTATTCATCCATTGATGGCCCCTTTCACTGGACCATACGTACAATCATTATCCGCCGCAACGCACTACGTATCCTAACAATTTCGCACTGCAGTCTGGTAACTCGTAGTGTGGCAGAGACAGTTGAGATCGGTGTATTTGCACTGTTTATTCTGATCCAGGCACTTTTGCTACACACCTTCAATCGGTATAACTGCTTTCGGGGAACATGTCTAGAACATAGCAAAGAAGGTGGTATGTTTTGGACAATCACGATGGCAGACCTATTAGATTTTTTGGAGAGAGTGAGTGGCTTGCTGCGAATGATTGGTGACGCCAATAGACTAGAGACATGGGATTAATGTTTGAGTGAGAATGCGAACGAAGTTTGGCCAGAACTTTGAGTATTATTATCCTTCGAGATCACCTTTGAGATAAGAGGACCAGCCAGCTAGTAGATTTGAGCTCACCTCAACCTAGTGAGCTGCGAGCTTCTTAGCAAGTGCCGTCATATCAGTGGTGGTTTAGGATACCCGAGCCCGCTCAGTCTCCCTTGCCCTGGATCAAACAATACTGGTAACGACAGAAAGAGCACGTGTTGTAGTTGAGTGTAGTCTAGTTTGTCATTCGAGGGATCGTGTGGAACTTGCTGTAAGATGCATGAGGCAGCGCCGTTGAAGAGGCTGATCTGACATCCGACATGTCCTACCCTACATTAACTTATGTTTGGGAACGATTAAGTGATATTGGGAATGGTTTTAGATACATTTAAACAGACAAATTGAACAAAGTCTCCCATCGTCTTAAGCACTCGCTAGAAAACCTCTTCTCCAACCAGCCGGGCAAGCCGGCCGTATTGATGAAAAGGGTCGCGTCTATTGGGAGTAGTGTAAGCCCAATGACACTGTGTGGCAAGGCATGCGCAAGCACAGAGGCCTCGCCACTGGGTCCAAAAATGGGATTAATCAATGTTGTGTTCCTTAGAACACTTTCAGAGATTAAACTGAAAAGAACAGATACTACACTTGATCTAAGCCAAAAGGCAAAGAGAGCTGAAGAAGAAAAGAAGAAAAAGTCTAAAGAGACGGGGGGTGGAAGGATTATTTATACCAGAGGCACGGTGGTCCGTGCGACACTAGCGGGGTTGGCTCGCTTATTCTTTGGTGCCTCAGGTTGATGAGTAGATATACTATGTTCAGGTACTCCGTATTTGTTTTGCTATTGGCTGTTTGACAGCCTATAACCTTGGAAACTAGTCTATCCTCTATATGCTTCACCCTTGGGTAAATCGATATAACCGTACAGATTCATAGTAGCCGCGTCCTGCTGCATCTTCTGACTCCATTCACCTAGGTGCTTCATGAACACTTCCACGTTCTTCTCATCGCTCAAGTCGATCGGCTGCTCATCCTTGCCCACTTGCTTCATTTGGGTTCCCGCCGCGACACTGGTGACTCCGAAATCCTGCTGATCGATCTTCGGATCGATCGCTCCGGTCACTTTGCCATCCAGGATATCGCGTGGCAAACGGATTTCCCGGCACGCAGGTCGAGCGAGTCCAACGCCATCCACCGTCTCCAAGGCGCCCACCATACCGGACGCCGTACGCAAGCCACCGGTCACATAGCTCTTCGTCTTGCCCAGAACCGGCGTAATTAGGGATGCGAATTCCAAAAAGAACGACTCCCGCTGCTTGGTGGACTCCCTCTTGTGGCTGAACGCAAGAGACTCATACGTGCCTCCCGACAACTCGACAAAATCAAACTCATTCTCCTCCAAGGTCCGGCACAGGTCACGCGCTTCTTCCGCGGTGAAACCTCCAGCCTGGAACTCAACCGAGTTGATCTTGATGCCCAAAATGAAACCAGTCGAGGCAGGTAGCTCCTTCCGAATAGACTGGGCGATCTCCACGATCAATCGCGCGCGGTTTTCCAGACTGCCGCCATACTCATCGGTGCGGCGATTCGTCGTCTGCGACAGGAACTGTGCGAGGAGGTACCCATGCGCGCCGTGCAACTGGATACCATCATAACCAGCCTTGTGCAGGTACACGGCGGCGTGAGTCCACCGCCGGATGAAGTCCTGGATCTCGTCCTTGGACGCAGCGTGCGGCTTCGCGAATCGCATCCCCATGAGCTCCTTCTCGAGCTGAACATCGCTGGCGGAGACAGGGTTGGGCTGAAGCCTTTCTTCAGTTTGCCGGCCCGGATGACTGACCTGGCCGATGACCAGGCTGCCGTGTTTCTTGGCCTGCGAGGCCAGCTCGCGGAAGGCGTCGAAGCGTTCCCCGTGGAAGGGATTCTCCAGGTCGATGATGGGGTTGCCAGGGGCTTCCAGCTGGTCGTACGCGATCATGATGTTACCTGTAGAGATGAGTCCGTAACCGCCTTCACCCCATCGCTTGTAGAGGTTGATCAACTCCCGGCTGGGGATACCCCGTGCCTTGAGATCGGTGGGTGACCAGGAGGACATCCGCTCGGTCATGGCGGCTTTGTAGAACCGGTTTGGCGCCGTGCGCTGGCTAATTGGGAAATGTAATGGCTTGCCCAGCGGGGCGACATCGACGGGAGCTGAGTGGTATCTAGAAGCCATCTTGGTCTATCCGCAGTAGAGAGATTGTAGGATTACAGTGTTGATAAGTTGACCAAGTGCGGTAATGTAATTGGCAATATTTACACCGAGGGATTGTCCTACACTGGTCCATACTATATATACATCGCAATCACAGCCAAAGCTGTATTGCTTAAAAATCTATTTCGGAAATTGGCTCGGGATTTGCATCCTTTCGCCGTTAATCCCAGGGTCCGTTTGTGCTTGATTAACATCAACATGACATCACAGCCTTTGCAGGATACAGCCAAGATGAATAATTGTCTCCAGAACTTTCTTTGATTTACATACCTCTTACTGATAATTACAAATCAAACAAATCTTGTCCTTGTCTTGACATTTCACCGTATGCATAGCTTGTACAACGATGCGGACGGTAGCTTGAGTACGGAGTATCCGGGTACCTACAGGAGATGGGCGCGACGGCGGCGAGGAGCCGAGGTTTGCCGTCCACATATCCCCTTCAACTCCGGATTCGCTCAGTATTTCGAATGTATTTTCGCATTATGGAGACCTGACTAGTTGGAAACTGCTGATCATAGCAGATACAAGTCCTTATCGACTGGTCGTCGTCTGGACCTTTTCATTATCAGTTCCCCTTTGCGTTCAGCCCACATTTCAATCTGGAGTTCATCAGCAGTCTGTATGCTCAATGTGGGACAGCAGCTTCCTACGTTGGTGAACTTGGACAACAGCCATGCAATGACTGTCAAGAGTACCAATATCCCGCCAACAAGCGGGTACCATCTCCAGGACGGATCGTCTTTCAGTATATCCACATTCATTCCGAGGAGGCTCTGCGAGGATTAGACAGCTACAACGGGGCAATGTTTGATAACTTACGGATGCGAACATAAGAGGGAGAAAGACAAACTATCACCAGTCAATAAATAGAACACAAGAGGGCCTGTTGCTTGGCCACACGTACAGTAATCCAGCTGATCCGCTTCAGACTCGTTGCCAAGCTGGTTGACCGATGCGCTTCATTGATAGAGACCCAGGCAAACTCCTACCCAGACCAAGGCGTTAGTTCTGATGGATGTTGGATGTGATAGGCTGATATAACTTGCTATCTGTAATAGATCTCGCATCGTCTGTTCTAGTTTATCTACTTGGTTTTGGATGTCACGCTCCGCGGCGTTGATGGTCTGATGCATTTGCTCACTGAACCGACGAGTTTCGCTGTAGCGTTGATATTGTGAGACAAAGTGACGCGCCTGGCTGAGCTGTTCCTCCAGCGTCCCTTGAATTCGGGTCCACTGCTGCATATTCTCGGCAACTGCGTCAATCAAGAGGTCATCTCTGCCTCGAACGGTCAGTTGATGGGAGCGCTAGCTTGTCAGCGTTGTTTCTTTTGAGAGAGCACGGCTCTTTGAATGGAGAACACAACGAAGAGACATACAAGGCGACTCAGAGCGCTTCTGGCGTCTCGACAGAAATCCATCCAGTCTTCTCTCCAAGTCTGCATGAATAGCTGAATGAACTCCAAGTCATTCTTGGGAACCCAGCCGAACGGCAGATTACTGAAGTAATGTATGGCTTTCGGAGGGACTTCGAGGACAGCCCATTCAATTGTTCGGAACGTACCATTCTCATAGCTGCGGAATTTCCCCTCGTTGTGACCGCCAGGAAATGTATGAGACATTGTCAGATTCATTTGAATGGACAAGGTAAATGTTCTGCAGGGGCTTTTGTTCCCCAAAGAGAACCTCAGCTCGTTTGGCGAATGGCCCATCTGCAGGTAAGTTTTCCATAAATTATTCTCCCGGAAGAGTCTGTCTGGTCAGAACCGCGAATGAAAGAGGTCCGAGCGATCAAACGTACATCAGATGAGTTTCGTCTGACGTCTTCGGCATATTCCTGACATGCGTCTCCAATGCACCGTCAATAATCCACTGTGCTGTCTTGATTCCGTCACGAACGACCGCAATGTCGACAGCCGCTGCAGTGACCTCTTTGCTGCGCCGTCCGAGATCGCTGTCATAATCGTTTTCTTGTTCTTTAATCCTGAGGATTTTTTCACGTTGGTCCAATAACGCCGCCACTGCCGCACGATCACCCTCCTGTATGGCCATATTCATCAAAGGGACTGCATTGTGGCCATGTCCCGTGCGCACATCATTCAGGAAAACCAAGTCTGCCGACGACTTGATGGTGCTGCAAGGACCGAACCAGTCCACGTTCTCGAGGCCTTGAATACTGGCTTGGTGCTCTAGAAGGACTGCTACCGTTGCCCGATCGGCCTGCTGCAGCGCTATCCTCATGAGAGGAACAGTGTTGTACTCGTCCTCCTTTTCTAGGCTCGGCTTGTATCTCTCAAGAAAGGGCTTGAGGAGACGAGACCGACCTTCCTGGATCATAATGCGCAAGGAGACAATGTCCCTTTTTAAAGTTGTTCCCACCTTAACCCCAGAGATGAGCATGTCTGCAATCTCGTAGTGGTTCCATTCTAGCGCGTAGATCAAGGGTGTCTTCCTATACCGGTCGATGGAGTTAGGATCAGCCCAGACGGTCTGCAACAGATGCTTAACGAGATCTTGATCGCCTTTCTCGCAGGCCCAGGAAAGAAATGTTCTTCGAGCTTTTGTCATAGGCTCGGCGCCCTGCTTGGGCCCCAGTAGAGTGAGCCATTCTTGGAGATAGTCCCCTTTCCCGGACTGATACTGCTGCTCCATCGCTGTTCGCTTGACTGTGTTACTGATAAACCACCACAAGGGTAATTGTCCCTCCCTATCGTGGATGTCCACGCTAGCGCCATGATTCACCAGAATGCTTGCTGTCTCCAGATGCCAATTCTCGGCGGCCCACGATAGCGGCGTGCGACCTCGCGCGTCCTTATAGTCCGCGTCAGCTTCGCCCTTGGTCAACAAGACCTCCACCAGACGATCATAACCTCGCTCCGCCGCCCTGGACAATGGCGTGCGGCCTCGCGAGTCTGGCAAGTCCGATTCGACCMTTTTTTGCAGAAGCAAATCCACCATGCGGTAGTCGCCCGCTTTGACAGCCCAATGAAGCGGGGTTTCACCATGGTAATCTGCAAGATCGGGATTAGCCCCTCGATCGAGGAGGCATTGCAATACAAGGCTGCGATTGTTGTATGTCTCCTGTGATTGGGTTAGATCGTATGAAGCCGCCCAAGAGAAGGCGGTTCGGCCCGTGCTGTCCCTGATGTCGGGGGATACGCCATAAAGAAGCAACTTAAGCTGGATAAGGTCACCGCGTTGAGCAGCGTGCATCAACTGGTGGATCTCCTCATCAGTAAGGGCGAGAGATGATGTTGCTACCACCATTGTTCCTCATATTTATTCGACTAAGCTCTGTGAGAAGATAAGGATTTGGCAAATTAAGCTCCTTAGCTCCCATCTGTTTTCTTTGACAGAAACGGGGGCTGAAGGGTGCTGCTCAGCCTCCATATTTGCAGCGTGGCTTATTGGCTACACAGATGGCACTTATGCACGAGTCTTGCTGCTAATTTAGACTCTTGGCTGCTCTGTGGCTCTGTCTGCGAGTGATTCTGAAGCTGCAGCGCTGTAGATTACAGGCAACGACTCCGATAGGTCTGCATTCATTCTCCATGATGAAACCCTCAAGTAGGAGCGATGTGGACCTTGGTTGGGTTGTGCTTGCGATGGCGTCGTAGGACGTACAGAGTACCTTGGGCATTGAGGTAAAACAAAAACAAATCAGTGTCATGTGACCACCTAGAACAACCTGCTGGAGTTTTGTGTCGAATCGAGTAACCACTTCTCAGTGTGTATTGCTGGAATCAGCTAAACTAAGCGTGTACTGTGATGATACACATACTGTGTATATTCCGCTATTATAAGATTTTTACTTCCGATGAGTACGCGGTTCCACCAGCGATTACAGTAGAAGTAGTAGTATGTATATGCCAGCGAATACGAGCTGAGCTATTCGAGATTGCAGTTGCGGTAGAGTCAAGGATGACAAGGACGAAATCAGTAAGGCGTTGCGACCTAGAAGAGAGTCCATCCCTTGAAGTGGGTTGTGCCGTCCGCAATGAAGCCATAAGGTATCAGTGCTACAACAGCGAGATGCCTGGGAAGATAAGGAGCAGGAGTCAATGCTCAGGGGTATGGATGCCCCTGGATCGCTTGTCCATTTATAAAATAAACCAGTCTCCAAAAAATCTGTATTCGAGAAAGCTATGCCTGAGAGGTTGCTAAAACCCGAAAAATTTTGGGATCTACTTAGCTACTACTATTCCCTAGTACAACAATGTGGCAGATCGATAGATATAGCATCACTCGCAAATCCATGTTCAAAAAGCTTGCATCTATCTTTGACTCAAATGATGACAGTTAGGTTATCTCAGTTGATAGTGCCCGTCTGTAGCCGATTCGGTAATATATTCTCGCTTATCATGGACAGGTTGTCTTCGCAGCAACACCAGCTGTCTCTTTATATCATTGTACTCGGTTGTTCAATATTCCTGGTTGTGGTATCATCTGTTACATCCGTAGATAACAGTCGCACATGACGCCCGTCCGATTGCACGTGGCTCCAGAGTTGAAATCTTCCCAATCGGCTATTCTCGAATACCTGTTATCGCAACTGGTCTTTGGAAAGATAGGAATATAGTGGGCACGGATAGTCTCATTCTGGGAGTGGGGAGATAAGACCCCACATTCCCTCAAGCTTTTTTGCATAGTCTCGTGGCTCGGGCTTGTCCGAAACCTCGGACTGTCAAGGAGACAGAGAATCTCAGCTGGATAAGCGCAAGCTCCACTACGGAAAAAGGCTTGAGCTCCGCCTGGGCCTCCTGAAGCCGGCAAACCTTATTATTGGCCGCTTTACTTGGCGTTATCAGTGCCAACTCTGGTGTGATATCGCGTCAAGCCATCGCACTTGCCACCTGCCAACTTCGGATTCCGTTTGAACTCTGTATTGGCTGCCATTTGCAACCCATAGTTATTAAAATTAAATGTACCATTCAACCTTGTTCGCTTGTTCTTGGTGGTACAGATGGCCCCGTTTATAAGCGGACCAGTCAGAAAGACCTGAACAGGGCATTATCGTGGAGGTTTCGACTACAATGTAACCTCACCAACACAGCCTGTTACGACAGTTTGCTGGCCTAAGACCCCTGGAGGTGGCACAGTATCGCATTCCCTTGTTGACGTGTAAATGAGTCCCAGAAGAGCTTCGGTGTTCCGCATCCGCTTGGATCGTAACACTCAGCTATTCCCAGTCTATATTTGAAAGACACGCGGCGCGGAGCAAATCGCTGAACTGGAATTTGGTCGGTAATATGCTGTGTGCTAGCGACGAGAACGAATAATGTCCCGGTGTGTCGACTGTCGAGGACAGATCGGCGAAAACTAAGGGCTTGTGCGGGGAAAGAATTAGCCACTCTTGCCTTTGCGTGCTTCTCCCTGTGCCTGCGACGAAGACGCACCAGTCTGAACGAGAAAGTTTAATCTAGTTTAACCTCTGCGCGTCCGAGTCCAAGGCTAAGCTTGGTACTCTTGCCGAATGCCAAGGGTGATGGCGTTTGCCATGTCTCTCACTCCACCTATACGCGGTCTGCGTCAATGCAGTGATTGGTCGCGGAGGAGATCATTTGGAGGGACTAAGAAGGTAGGATACCCCTTTGTATCAGTCAATAATCATTCGTCCTGTCCTCGAGTCCAATTGACTTTCATAGACTCGTCCAGGGTCGCGATGCGTATCCAATAGTCGGCCTCATTCGCGTTGGAAGCGGCGGACGGAAGACCACGAGGGCCAATAACTTACCAAAACATGTGCCACCACTGCCATGAGTTTCAAGGATTAGATTTAGACTGCGTTCATCTGGATGGGCGCTAGAAACCCATCCACATGAGCAACAGGGTGCAGATAACAATTCGTACCTAGTCTCACAAACCTTGTGATAGCCAGTTGCAACCCCACCCTGCATGAGATCTCCGAGTCCACCTAGAGAGTCGAGGACGGTCTGGAAATTGCCCGCCCCATCGAGGACTCTCCTATCGGGTGGGGAATCAAATGGCATAATGTGCGATTAACTCAGTCAAGGGGCGAAGAACAGGCCCGTTAGTGTTGAGTCTAAGCGGTCGAAGTGGTTAGCTCACAAGCGACATCCAGACAGTGAAAGACGATAGAGTACTTGACCGGCGATAGACACCTGGACTGGTGCGATATTTTTGTGCATACCCTTCTTCTCCTCCCCTCACTCCACGCTTGTCTCTGCTCTTCCCACCTTGCTCCTATTTATGCTTCTCTCTCCCCCGCGCGTGTGTTTGCTTTCTTTTCTCTTCCACGTGCGAACCCTTCCCCCTTCCTTTCCGTTCCATCTCGACTTCTTCTATCCTGCTCTCTACCGGTTTTGAGCCTTGTATCAGCCACCTGCAGGCATGAGTGATCCTGTCGACGCGGCAGACTTGGTGGTCGTGGCTCAGGCTCACGTCCCCAAGCAGTCTCTGGACGTCGTCCCAGTCAAAGAACACGAGACTACGGTGGTTGCTACAGCTCCTAGACTTGATGATCAAGGCCGTGAAATTCCCACCGAAGAAGAAGAACACACTCTCCGTCGCGTTGCTGGCAAGGTTCACTGGACTGCGTACACGATCGCCTTTGTTGAACTCTGCGAGCGTTTCTCCTACTATGGAACCACTGCTGTCTGTACGTATTGAGCCCTTCTCAGACTCTACCTAATGGAGACGAGCTCACCTTATCCCAGTCGTCAACTTCATCCAGCAGCCTCTCCCCGATGGGTCGAGCACTGGAGCCGGGCACCAAGGACAGTCTGGTGCCCTAGGCATGGGTCAAAGAGCGTCTACTGGTCTGACAACTTGTGAGTATCTTGCCTCTAAAACATTTACCATCAGTCTATGTCTGACACTTTACCCTAGTCAATACATTCTGGTGTTACTTGATGCCTATTCTGGGTGCTTACATTGCCGACGAGTTCTGGGGACGGCTGAAGACTATTCAGGTTTCAATCGCCTTTGCGATGGTTGGACACATCATCCTGATTGTATCTGCCTTGCCATCTGTTATCGCGCATCCACATAGCGCTCTGGGATGCTTCGCTGTCGGTCTGGTCATCTTTGGAGTTGGTGTGGGTGGTTTCAAGTACAGATACCCGTCGCCTTGTTGTAGACGTGAGATTGTGCGCTAACACACATATAACAGGTCAAACATTGCCCCTCTGATTGCTGAACAGCACAAGGAAACAAGGTCCTTCATCAAGGTGTTGCCCAAGACAGGCGAGCGTGTCATTGTGGACCCTGCTCAAACTGTCACTCGAATTTTCCTGTACTTCTACTTCATGATCAACGTCGGCGCCTTGGTTGGCTCAATCGTCATGGTGTATGCCGAGAAATACGTGGGATTCTGGCTTGCATTCCTTCTTCCAACCATCTTGTTTGCGCTCTGCCCTCTTGTGATCTTTGCATGCCGGAACAAGTACGAAGTCACACCCGCTACCGGCTCGGTTTCTGCGAAAGCATTCAAGCTTTGGGCTTTTGCTCTTAAAGGCCGCTGGTCCTGGAACCCGGTGACATTGTCAGTGGCCCTCACTTCATGTTGATCTGCCTTCGTACTGACCGTTCATTCGCAGCGTGCAGAATTGCCGGTCTCCTGACTTCTGGGAGAGAGTGAAGCCTAGCAGGGTTCAAAATAAGCCAGACTGGATGACGTTTGATGACCAGTGGGTCGATGAAGTACGCAGAGCTGTGAAAGCGTGTGCTGTCTTCCTCTGGTACCCTATCTACTGTACGTATCTTCAAATTCTTAACGTCGAGAACACAGGACTTACCTACATTATAGGGTTGGCCTATGGGCAGATGACCAACAATCTGACCTCGCAGGCAGCCACGATGGAGCTGCACGGTGTTCCTAACGACTTGATCAATAACCTGGACCCTCTCGCATTGATCATTTTTATTCCCATCATGGATCAATTCATCTACCCCGGTATCCGCAGGATGGGATTCAACTTCACTCCCCTCAAGAAGATCTATGTCGGCTACATCCTTGCCTCCATGTCCATGATAGCGGCTGCCGTCACGCAATACTACATCTACAAGATGAGCCCGTGTGGCGACCAGCCCAGTAACTGCGATAACCCGGCACCAATCAACGTGTGGGTTCAGACCCTGCCGTATGTCCTGATCGCTTTCTCGGAGATCTTCACCTCCATCACGGGCTATGAGTATGCATTCACAAAGGCTCCCAAGAACATGAAGAGTTTAGGTATGTCGTTGCCCGTGTCGGTGGCCAGCTCCATCACTAAACTGTTGTTACAGTCCAATCGATTTTCCTCTTCATGAACGCCATCTCGTCTGCTATCCAGCAAGGACTTACTGCGTTGTCCACCGACCCGCTCCTGATCTGGAACTATGGATTCGTGGCCGTTCTGGCGTTCGTTGCTGGTAATCTCTTCTACTTGACCCACTATTCACTGGACAAGGAGGAGGACCGACTCAACAATCTCGAGGCCTCGGCGTACCTGGGCACCAATCCCGGTGCTCGAAATGAGAAGATTGACCCGGAGCCGTAGACGCTACTTGCCTTAGGGAGGTTGTCGAACGGAGGAACGCTAGTGTGGAGTTTGAATCGTATTGTACTACCAAACTTGGTATGTACCCCTGAGGTATGCAGGACATGCAAAGTAATGAAATGTAATGAACTGTCTATGTCGAACTCTCGATTGCATAGTACATTGTCGTGTTGATTTGAACATCACTCGTAGCCGGAACATCGATGAAAAATGTAGAAGACAAAAGAAAAGACTGAAAGAGATGAGATTGATTGAACACATTCTGTACATCACCATTATACACGACCATGTATCAAACATGGAAAGTTTTAAAACTCTAGACGCCATATCCCGACACAAGATGCAAAGAAGATAACAAAGAAGGAAAATAAGTCTAACGACTTAAAGAAAGACAAGGACCCCACGCTTCCAAGTAGCTTCACCGAACAGAAATCCACAAGAAACCAATTCACTTCTTCGTCTTCTTCTCCTCCTCCTTCTTCTCTTCCGTCGGCGCCGGCGCAGACTGCGCACTCACGTCGCTCTGATGCTCATGAGGCTTCTCATACAACGGCTGATGCTTCTGCTTCAACCGCTCCTCCTCAGCGGCAACCATATCCTTCCACAGGTCGCCGCTCTGCGGATCATGCGCCGCAGCAGGGGTAGGAGTGGGAGCCGCCTCCTTCTCCCCGGCGGCCTTCTTCCTCTTCTTCGCAGCATCAAGCAACCCCCTACCCTTCCGTTGATCCGAGATCTCAAACGCCGCCGACGCAACCAGCACAGCGAGCGTCAAGCCCTGCGCATACACACGAGCCTGCACGATTTTCTGCGAACCGGTCAGGTACGGGTTCCGGCTAACCATGGCAAACGAGCCGATCATGCTGGCGATCCACGTGGCGCCGACGATCTTGTACTTCTCGCGCCGGGCAAAGGCCGTCACGCGGTCGACGAAGCTCATCCCCGCCAGCTCCTCCTGGCGGAGGCGCTCTTCGCGGGACTCGTACCATTGCCGTTCGACGTTGCGGGAGGCTTCGAAGGAGCGCGAGGCGTGGTCGGCGGCGATGATGCCGACGAAGGTTCCGGAGGAGGTCACTAGGAAGGATTTCATGGGGAGGGTGAGGTTGCGGATGGTGGCGTAGCGGCGCGAGGCGGCCATCACGCCGGCGACACCGCCGACGAGACCGATCACGCCGCCGAGTGTGCCGCCCTTTAGGACCTCTCTGACGGGAGTTCGTCAGTAATGGTTCGATTTAGGATAGTAGGCGATCGCCTAGAACGACATTGAATATGCTTACCTGTAGTGAGCTTCTTCTTCTTCCTTGCTGAGAATCTTCATGGTGACGGTATTATTTTAGTTGTGGACGGCAGGTATGTATGGACTGAGCAGATAGCGAAGTCAATGCTGATTTTATGAATCAATTGCAGGATTGAGCGGGGATGGACTGAGAGAAAAGTATGTAGACGAGCCACCACTCAAGTCAGGGTAAAATTCGGATGAGGGCAAAATAATGAGGTCAGAACGACTACAAAGACCGAGCAGCATAGGCCGGGTGACGTACGATAAGTGTGATGGGGGGGCGGGATCTGCTTCTCTGCCGAATCGGCGATTGCTCGGGAATGCCTTGGGGCTTCCAGGCGGTCGCTGATTATTAACCACTTACAGTAGTTTGTCTTGTCGCACGAGACACACGAGAATTGAATCTGCTAATCGGGTTCCATGACCAATGAAAAGCTCTGCTGTGCTCCAACTCCTGATGGCATGATTGTGTTTCCTATGAACCMGGTACCGCCCAAGCACTTGTCTAGTACACAAAAAGTAGAATAAGTAAACAATAACTAATCATTCCGAAGGCGCCGTTCGCGAAATAAAAGCCAGTGACCGGAAAAATAGAAAATGTCTCAGAGAAAGATAATCCGGTTGTTCCGACCGTCTCACGCTCGTACTGGGATTATAATAAGAAATGACCTGAGCAGATACAAGAGAAAAGTAGAAAGCTGAGATGCCAACGGATCTGCTTCCGAACTTAGCGTCGCGATCCCTTCGACGCAGCGATCTGTCGGGCCCGCATTCTCCGGAATCGATCCTCTCCGCTGGCTCCTAATGGACGTGCAAACTTGCTCTCCTGCACCACGGTTGGGCGGGGAACAATAGTGTAACTGGTATGGGTAATCTCGGCACGGGCACGGTTTGCCAACCGGGGAGGAAGGAGTTCTCGAGAACGAGCTTCTGCAACGCTCGCCTGAGCAGATGTGGTACGTGCGGTGAGTTTCCTATAGTACTTGTGAGCATGTGGACCGCAATCAGTACGAACAAGAACAGAAGATGGCATACCTGGGATCATATTCAGCCTCCTGGTAGACCCGCTTCGAGTAGTCGTCGCTGCGCTGTAAAATGGGACGAGTCCATTCGGCGAGCAGCCGCTCAGCCATCCGTTTGATGCCAGGCTCCGGACGCTTGCTCTTGGTATAAAACACAATCACCTTGCCAATTCCACTAGCGATCAATGTCT